CCACGAGCGTTCAAATATTCCCGCCAGTGCCTGTGCAATGATGTCGGCCAGTGCCTTCAGCACCCTCGGATGGAGCTCATCCGGGCCTGCCGACTTAAAGGAATCCAGTTCCTCCAAGTGCGTCTGCACCATCTCAGGGTCTACGCATGGCAGTCTGGCGCCTTGCTGCTGCCTCTCTGCGACCCCAGTGAGAGACTTGTCGTGCCCCTCACTTAGGGACACTGAGGCAAAGAACTCGTTGAGGAGTTCAGCCTTGTCCCCCCTGTCCGTCACCAATTGTTTCTGCCCATTTAGCAGGGGTCCTATTCCTCCCTGGGCCTTCCTTTTACTCCCAATATAGCTAAAAAACAATTTCTTGTTATCCTTAACCCATCCTCAGCTCCATGGTAGCTTTGGCCCGTCTAACTGCCTCCCTACAAGCACGAGCAGAGGAGGTATACTCCTCTTTAGTAATCTCTCCCCGTTTCCACGTTTTATATGCCCCACTTTTAGCCTGTAGGCTGCTCTGGATTTCTCTGGTCAGCTAAGGAAGCCTCCTGGCCCCTTTCCCTCTTTTTCCCCACATTGGGATCGTCTCCCTCTGTGCCCGAAGGATCATTTCCTTAAGGCACATCCACCCTTCCTGGGCTCCCAACTCTTTAAAACACTTACTCTGCAGTGCGGCCTTGACTAAACGTCTGAGTTCATTGAAATCAGCTTTCCTAAAGTCTAGCACTTTTACCTTACGAGTTACCTTACCCGCTCGACGTCTTATTATGCCTTAGGCAGGGCTTGGACTCGATGGGACCTCTGCAGCTCCCTGCCAGCCCCACAACTCTGTGACTCTAAGGAAGCAGCTGCTACCAAAGAGGAAGGAAGGAGGCAGGCAAACCTCAGCCTGGAGCAGCTGGAGCCGGTGTCACAGGGGCCGGAGCCCCCACTGCAAGGATGCTAACGTGCAATTTTTTTCTTTTTTTTTATATTTTGCAAAACTTTTCAAGTACCAGGTCAAATTAGCTAGATCAGGTCTGAATCCTGTGAATCATTCAAAAACCTTAAGCTAACTTGCAATGACTGACTTCCAGCATTTTTGGGAGCAGTCTCCTCCAGCCCTACAAGCCCAATCTGGCTGCAGGGCATTTCAAAGCATTGACAGTTTGCACTGGATTGGGCCCTGCAAGCCCAGCCTGGTGCCATGGACAAGCCCCATCCAGCAGCAGCTGCAAAATTGAGAGAGAAACCCCTGGTACCCGCTGCATG